GATGATGGCAACTGTCCGGTTTTGGTTGCTAACTGCGAAGCTAAACAAAGCAAGATTAACTTAAGTAATAGTGTTGATTCAACTGTTGCTACTGACAAACTTTTGTTATTTTTCAAGCTTCAGCCTGCTGTTATTACTCCAGACAACTTGCATGATAATGTGTTCGTATCGTCCATGTTAGATTCTCCCATTGACACTTTTTATCACGCTGTGCAAAAAGTGTATGCTCCACTTTTATTGAAAGATGATAAATGGAGTCAGAAATTTGATCCAAAGTTACAGACTTTGTTGAGTGAACTTGAAGCAGGTCTTGCCACGGTTGTGCGCAAGCAACAGTTTACTGGTTCGGGAAAGAAATCACTGGCAAGCGAGGAAAATGTTGGTGGGATCTTGACTCCTCAAGACGAATTCCAGTATTGGGCAGATGCGGCAGTGTCGGGTTATGATTTAAGTGAAAGAGAAAGAGCTACGTACTTTCAAGAACTATTCCAAAAAGGTTAGTTTTTATATTCACAGTGGTTATTCATCCAGATTCCAGTATAATGCTTTGACGCTTGGCAGCACGCTAATCTTGGCAACATGGCTGTCAAACGTAAGGCTACGAAAATGGCACCAAATACAGGCCTTAAAATATCTTTTACAGGGCCGTCTGACAAAATGTCCGGTGACGTTGAATTTGGGTCGGACATATGTCCGATGACCTTCAGTTCAGTTTTGACTCGGAAATAAGTCTGAATGACGCAAATGAATAAACGGTAAATGTTGTAAAGATATTAAATAATTTGTTCCTTTCATACTTATTTCCAAGCCAAAATTAACTTGCTTTCCAGAATAGCAGTATTCAACTTAAGCCCGTTTTCCACTTCACCATTTCGCTCGCCGCCCCGCGCTCGACTACGTTAAAACAACATTTCCAGTTGACCTTTTATACAATAGTACTCTGATTTTCCATTTAACATACAAGCCTCTAGTCCTGGGCTAGGGTACATTTTGATTTACGTCGGACAAAGCTACAATTCGGTCAGACACCAATACACTCGGGTCGGACAAACAATAAACCTCAGTTTCACTTTGGTCGGACAGAATGTCCGGTGGTTTCCTTTCTACGTCGGACAATTTCACGAATGGGTCGGACAATGTCTGTGACCGACCGATATTTTAAGGCCTGACCAAATATCCGCCAAAATAATAGAAAAGTGTTTACTATAAGGAAACAGCTGAAGCTATAAGGTAGTGAATTTCATTGCTTTTTCCTTGTGTCAAGACGAAGTCATCCTGACTTTAAACTCTGACTTGTAATTTTCTTTAAACTTGCTAGAGCTTTGTGAAGACAATACTATTTCCAGTATTTCGAGCATGAACAGTCAATACCTATGTTTGATGGTGGTGTTATAAATATTGGCATGCTTATTGCTATATGTTTCTCCAGAGTTCACTCGACCCAGTCTTTCACACAAGCAAAGTTGAAATATTGATAATATCTGTTTGTTTAGATGTCTTACATCTGGGTGAATCATGGGTGGATTTATTGGGGGAGGTAGGGGGGTTAACCCCCCTAGAATCCCTCTAACCCCTCTTATAAAGTGTTCAACCCACCAAAATTTCGCTTCACCCCTCCTATTTTGTGTGAAAGTCTTAACCCTAACGCCTAACCCCTGCCAAAGCTCGCTCAGTGGTGCTGCTTGCACCCCACTAGAAATTTTTCCACCCCTTCTAAAAAACCAAAAATCCGTCCTTGGGGTGAATAATTAGTCTACGTTGTGGTCAAACAAGATTTTGTTCCAGACGTTGGAATTTCCTGAACGCTTCAAGTGCGCCGTTGTTGTAGCGATTATTCAATATCGTTGCCAGAGATTTGCCAGGCGGAAAACGAATTCGTATATTTATATAAAACGAATTCGAATGCGGAAAACGAATTTTGTATTGTGCATGTCTGTTTTCTTTTTTGCTTTACAGCTAGCGCTAATTCCAATTTGCATATGTAATAACAGCTGATGTACATTCCAAATACCAAATTCTAACGGCAAACATCCTAAGTTGTATGACTTGTATGTACCGTATTATGTTTCCATTCAGTTGTATCATCTACTATCTAGTATCTCTGGCCAAATTGTTTTCTTTCAAAAGCAATAAATAAAAGAAAGATGTATTTTGTAACAGGGTTCGAATTAATTCTGAAAAAATGGTTCGTGAATTATTTTTTTTATTTTAAGGAAATTTTAAAGAATTTTCAAGGAATTTTCTCTAATTGGACGTTTTTTTAAAGTGGAAGCGCTGCAATTTTCAAAAATATAATATACATCGTATAATAAATATGAGAGCCCAACATATAACTTTTAACAAAGCCATTAAAACAGTTTTAAAAGATTGTAAAGAATTTTAATTGTAACGTTTCGTCTTTAACATCGCAAACTCGCAAAGAAATAGAATTTTGGGTGGAATTATACTCGTTTTTTATAAGTACAATCTAACAACAATATCTTCAGAATATATGATTCTT